ATTTGGAAAAGTAAACTGTAAATTATGAACAATCTAATCCTTTGCTTTAAATGTATGGCTACTAGTTCCTATCTCCAAAGCTGAAGATTTCTCAAGGAGCAAAGTAGACGAAAAGGTCCAAGGGAGGTAACTCCTATACAAATTCTGAGACTTTCGACTAGAATAACGGTCCTCATAAGATAACCGGAATTAATTTGATATGATTAATTCCCATTGTCGGCAAGTATGGAAACTGCACTGTATGTATCCTTTAGATATACATTATACCATGCAGTTGTTCAGAAATTTTGCATGTTTTGCATTCCCAGCATATATAGTTAGAGCAGGAAATGTGTACATTTTTTTCGATAATGTCTTTTACATGTAGTAAAGGAACCGTGTAAAGGACCCATTGTTATATGTGTTCGGTTCAGAGTATCAGATAACTGTAATATCAAAATGATTTGATGTTCATTATAGCAAAATGATAATAGATTCTAACTTGAATAGTGCATATTTAATCATACTGCTGAAATAATGTGCACTGGTAAAATGTTAGACTAATGGTATTGATCCAAACATAATGCATGTTTAAACAATTGTACAGACATGAAATGGAAGAAATGAGCATTTGTTCAAAGAAAAAATGCATTACACCTCATGTCTTCAGAAGGAAAAAACTAAAAAATATTAAAGTGAATTGTTTTGGTATTGAATAAAAAAGTAATACAATGTAGTATGTTATTTAGCCATTTGGTTTTACTTTTGTCCTACCCTTGGGATAGCTGTTCGGAACCTTACTTTCTGAAACCATCTAATTTCAATTTCATAATGATTATTCCAATCAGGTTTTAATTATTTCCTGCTAATGTGGACAAATTGTACCCAAAAGTGTTCTTTCCTTTACACTTTTTTAAGCAATAATAAACTGTACCCCCTCCCAAAGAGAAAAATAGCATTAAAATAACAATTCAGATAAAGCACATAGGGACCTTTTCATCCATGTGGAAAATAAGATTCTAGTACATCCTAGTTCGAGGAAAAAAACTTTTTTCCATGTTATATGGCCCCACACCTCCAGCTTCAGGAGGGAGGCTGGATCCTATTTTCTCATAACACCTACTGATACTAATTGCCATCGCATCATCTTTTTTCCAACCACACTTGAATTATTTCCTGCTGAAAATGGACAAAATATACCAAAAAGTGTTATTTCCCTGTATAAAGTCTAGTAAACTTTACCCCAGTTTCCCAAAGGGAGAACTGATAACCAGGAGTAAATACATTTACAATTCAGATAAAGCAATTTAGGACCTTTTCATTTATGAAGTGCTTTTGATTCTGGTACAGCTAAGTCTGAAGAAAAGGCGTTTTGAAATTTTAGCCAATGGTCCCCCTTTAAACCCTGCCCCTCCAGCACAAGGGGCAAGGTAGGGTCTTATTTCCTTACATCATCTCATCATTACTAAGCAAACAAAGTTTGAATTATTTCCTGAAATTTACAAATTAGATATAGCACCTAAGCATCTTTCCATTCACAAAAGAGAGTTGATTCTCGTACATCTGAATCTGGAGATGATTTCTGAAGCATTGGTCAATTGGAATGGGGCAGGAATACCAAATTTACAATTTGATAACCTCTTCCACCAATGATGAGTCTTACTAAGTTTGAAAGAAATCTATGAATTCACTGCTTCCTAAGAAGAATTAAAAAAAATTGAAGTTCATGAACGATGCACTTTGATGAAAGAAAAGTGATCACATTTTGTCACTTGAGCCTTTGTTTCTTTATACTACATATGGTAAATATTCCTCCATCATTACTTGAATATTTTACCATATAAAAAACAAGAAAATCACTAAAACTGCTCCCCAAAAAGTCCGTTGGGACCGGAATAAAGGTAACATGATAAATGTATCTTTACCTGAAATTTATCATACCTGGCACTATTATTATCTCCGAGATATACGTTACTTAACTGTGTAAAGTGAATGAACACCAAAGGGGAATGCAACAAAGCTCGCCTTCCTTCTACACATCACCTACCTTTGGAGGTATACAGGTTCAGATTTATTTGACAATTGAACTTAACGAGACCTTTACCTCATATACCGCCTCACAATCTTGCATATATCAAACATAAATATGACAATTCATAAACATCATTATAGTATATTAACATTCACCATCAAATATAACTATTAACTTTTATCCATGGAAGCTCTCTTAAATCATGCAGTCAATATGCTTAAAATCTCTCAGTTGTTGGCGTAATATTACAATTCTTTTTGTGAAGTTTTATTTTTTTACCAAAAATAATCACACAGCTTTGTGTACTCGACTTGTCCTCTGAAATAGACCGGTTTATATCGTGGAGACATCTTGAATCAGGCTGTGATCACTTGAGTCATCCAATCTCGCTGGATTTGTCAAGTATTCATACATGTACTAAGCAAATCAATGCCAGTTACAAAGATTTCGCGTTCGATTTGAAGTTACCGAACCGTAGACATGTATTGTGTTGCTTGCTTTGTCTGTATAGATCGAGATCGACTAATTTGCTGATGAGTTATAAGCTTCATTGAAGCGAAGCTGACCAAGTAGAGAGACAAAGTAGGTGGAGACATCCATCTTTGGAATGTCGTTTTAGAATAACCACCAATAGAGCTTCATAAAGTGAACGCCCCCTCCAAATTTGGTATCATAAAACCGTTAATTTGTTTCTCAGTCGAGGAAATACATGTTATGTTTCGGTGCTTCCTTAGACTGCATGAGTGTTAGATAAAGCGCCAATTATTTAGATAGCATTGGCCTTACGGATATACTGTCCTAACTTGATTAATAAATCTAATTATAAACTAAATCTATTTTCCCAAAATCATTAAATAAAACAAAAATGTTTAAAATCCATCAGACCCTGGATTTTCGTTATTTACACAAGTTTCAAGGTCATACCTAAATTTCTTATATGTGGTTTCCCATTCCAGAACATCGGACTCTAGTTTAGAAAACTAACGTACAAATGTCAAGCAGTTATTAAGTTGATATTTTGAGTTTTAGTTTTAAAATGAACAAATTTCCTCTTAAATCATGTTCTGTTTTCTTTTTGTTTTTCCTTTTTCTTATGTAATTTAAATATTATTTTAAAACTGTTATTTCTGTTTTCAAAATAAAAATAAATTTTGTTAGTGTTTACATATTCCATATAATGAGGAGTGAATAGTTAAGTTTCCATGTCCCTTATACATTATTTGAATTCATTTGAATAACTACTGTTTTAAGAAAAGAATGGCCCGTTCTATAGCCACGCTAAATGCTTGTTTTGTTAATAAAAGACGAAAGACAGCCCGGTACACGGATATAACCTAAGCGTGCCTGTTTAACAGGTTTCGTTCTTCTCCATGTCTATCACCTAACCTTTTAATATTATTATCGAAAAACAACAACAGGCAAAACTTATTTATGTTATCAAACACTTCGTACCTAAAAGATTGTTCATATTTCTATATACATTGTGTATGCTATCATATTCAAGCTCCGATTTTAAAACAAGGTTCAAAACACAATAATAGCATAGACGTAATATAAAGTCTTCTGTTGTATCAGATACGTTAGAGTTACGTTGTTACGTCACTTGTTTGTGAGAGTAACGTCATCAATTTTTGAGAAAACGACGTAATTTTCTCGCACAAACCAATGACGTAACAATCAAAACCTGCTCCCAAGAGAAGATAACTCTGCAATACGCAAAGACGGAATATCATCTATTATTAGTACTACGTGTGGTACTAGGAGTCACAAAGCTGCTTCCATCAGAATGATGGATGGCGTTTTAGTATATCAACGGTATTTATCATACACTGTAAAGTAAAAAAAAATCATCAAAATTCTATCTTAATCGAAAGGTTTTATTTCTAACATCGTTAAATATCCAGATGAAAACAAGTGATAGTTACATGTACCTGACGTTGGTAATGGACCTGGACATCTTTATTTTTTAATATTGATTTTATGTAGGAGATACACTGTAACCCATGGATAATCTCCTGGAGCAGGTCATCTGCAGACTTAAGTTCTTGAACATTCAAGATATAACGGTATATATGCTTTAGAAAAAAAGTAAACACATTGCTTGAGAATATTTCATTTCCTTATTCAAAATGTCAACTGTTACATTGTAAAATTTAAATCCACGAATATATTTGATACAGTAAAGAAGACCTAGCAATGTCAACACTTCTGTGAGAATACAACAAAGAGCGAAAGCAAGAATGTGTACAGTAACTCTGTCCTCTGAGGCAGATCATCGACTATTTATTTATTATTGTAATAATAATTCCATACAAAACCGTTTTACCGTATTACACTAAATATACACGTATCTTTACATCGTTCAATTAGTTAAGTACTTACCTGATTACACCAAAGACAACGTTTTGTACAAGTTTTCGAGGGATAAACAATATCAGCCGTGCTGTTACATGTTTATTTCAAAGTAATTAATCAGAAGTGATTAAGTTTGCATTCCTGTTAATTAGATTATTTAATAAAATTAATTAAATAACCAGCAAACATGTCTTAAAGTGTGAATGATAATTAAATTATATTTACATTCTGTCTGATGATTGAACCCTCATATTAATATACTTCAAATGTTGTTTTTTTGCCAAAATCTCAATAGAAAACATAAACAAATTATCTCTGTCATTTATCTCAAGTCTTCAAGGTTACAGAATAATGATTTGGAAGTATGTTTTTTTCCATTTTGATTAACATAGACACATTATTAGTCCTTAATCCAGCGAAAACTTAAACATCTGCACCATGCTGGATATTCCGTCTCCTTTCGCATTTAAAGTTACTACAAAACAGCATCTTCACAAAGTTCATAAGTACGACTTTCAACGCCGCCGAGGCCACAGATACGCCGCTGTGAGCGGAACCTGTATAACCGGACTTGCCAAGACAGTAACACGCTATGATAGCCTGAAAAAGTGAGTAAATGGGCTCGTTAGAATGAATATTCTGAACATGATAAATAATAATCACAAAACGTCAAATTTAAGTGTGAAGCATTATTATATTCTGTATATGTAGGTGCTATTTCTATCACAATAGGACAACTAGGTAAAGTTCTCTTATGAAATCATTATCACTTTTGATAATCTCAAAACACACCATTGGAAAATAATAAGATATCAATCAAAATTTCTCATGATACACTTAAAACTTTGAGTGAGTTTATCACATTATAAAATTCTCCCCTGGATCATGTGTAGATATCATATCAAAGTCACCAGAGTACCAGGTACAAAAGTATCGACCATTTAACGTCACACTGACCTGTATCAGGACGTAGACACTGTTGATGAGACACGCGAAGAAACCTAAGCCGTATGAGAATGCCCCCGCGTCTATGGTACATACCATGATGCACCCTACCAGGCTGAATAGTCCTTTATCAACAAAACACATATGAAGTTCAGTTTTATTTTTAACAAGTATGATGTTTGCGAGCCAACTGTTGTCTATATTGACCAGATCATTAACTGTGAAAGTAGACATATATTTTTCTACGATTCGTAATAAACGAAAGGACTGCTGTTTACAAACAACGTCACGCGTATTAACACACTCGACTGACCAATCAAAATCCTCCAAGGTGTTAGTACACGTGTGGTCATAACACAATTTATGTAATGGGTGCTATTACACTCATAACAGGGTATTCCTGTGATAAAATACTATATCATACAAAAGGGAAACACAGGAAATTTAAATGAGGTACCTGCAACTCCATAGAGAACGATTGTGAACTGCAACCAAATCCATGTCAACTCAGAACTCTTAATCCACGCCCAAGTCAAACACAGAGCCATAGGGTATATTACCAATGATGTAGCCTGTAAACCAAGAGCTGCCGGACTTAAGTCTAAAAAGGAAAATATTGCAAGTTATTAATGGTAACTTGTGTTATTTAAGGAACAACCTTTATTTCGAACTATCTATGCCTAATTGCATTATGTAAGAGAGTCATTTACTGCACGAGTTGCCTCCCCTGTCACATGTAAGCAAGTTACAGACCCCATCAACCTTTTGACCTGCACCGGAAATGACCTTTCAATTCGAATTTGTCACGGTGAAAGTTGAAAGAAAAAGTTGACGATTACTGATTTTTAAATCTACAATCATAGATAGCCATCGAGTTCTTCAACTACATTGGATGCTAATATGTATGTGCTTGACACGTATTACGTGTATAAATGCAACTAAAGCGTTCACAGGGCGCAAACAAAATCATTAATTAGATGTGTTCCCTCGTGTGTTCGTGGGATGGCACGGAGCACATGTAAATGAACCTAATAAACGAGTCGCTGAACACAAGAATGTACGATGAATTAACGTTATTCATTCATACGCATCAATGACTAAGCATCATTAACAGTAACAAGGAGTTTAATTTAAGAATTTTAAAATGCTCATAACTATTAGTGAACAAGCTTGGGCTCGCCGGAGATCCTGGGGGTATTTGCGCGTATTTCAGAATATTAGCAGCATCCGTGATGTTATTTATATGCTTGTATGATATATTCCAAATTGTGATATAACATGTCGATGTTGATTGACTTAACCCGAATTGAGGTTAATTATTTGCTGTGCAGTAAACGAGGGCCAGGGGGGAAAACCCTTGTTTAAATTTCAATATATTCAGCTGAGTCAGTTATAACTAATGTGGCATTAGCTCATCATTTATGTGTTAAAGTTTTGTATTAATCTGTTGAGAAGCTGACTGTGCCCCCAAGCAAGCGAAGGAAATTTAACAGCCCTTATGCCAGGGCCAACAGGGGGGAGGAGCTCGGTCATACCAGGCACAGCATGAGGAGGAGGAGTCTGAGCTGGGCGCCATGGATGAGCCTGACATGCAGGTGACAGTCCCCAAGGTTGCAGAGAGCCACCCCACGGGATCGGGACAAGTCCCATCAGTCTCGGGAGGAGGACCTATGTCTGCAAATTTGGGCTCAGGTATTGACATGTTTAATATGCCTTCCCCACTCCTGAGTGTAGGGGACACGGTAGGGCCCCATGTCTCCCAGGCTACCAGGGAAAAAATTTGGGGCTCAGAGTTTTTTGATTTGGGCATACTGATGGAGACAAACCATCAGAAAAGCACTCAAAGTTTACCTTTGGTTGATGGCGTCTTTGTCATCAAACAGAGGGGGGCAAAATACACATTAGATACCATTGAGGCATGGACAGATGCCTTCATAGTTTATGTTGCTATCTACACACAGAAGCATGGTAGAGGGCAAGAACTATTGAAATATATGTCAATTGTTAGAACGGCCTTTAAATCGTTTGGTGGGTTAGGTTGGAGGAGATATGACGAGCAATTTCGTCTCCGTCAAGCCCGTCAGCCTGATCGGTCATGGGCGGTAGTTGACGGGGAACTATGGCTTACATGTTTAACAATAAATGTATTGAGGTCCTCGGATGCTAATGCATCGCAAAACAAAAATGTCGGAGTGCGTGGTGTTTGTTATGAATTTAACTTCAGAGGTGTGTGCCACAGGACGAATTGTGGTTATTTGCATAAATGTGTAGTATGTGGGGGAGGCCATTCTAAAATAAACTGCTTCCGTAACCAAAACCAAGCTTTCAGGGGGCAGGCTAATATAAGTGGCCAAAGAATGCCTTCACCAAACAATGGGCCTAGACAGGGCCTGAATTCTGGTCAAAGTAGCACCCTCACCCAGAGGCAGAGTAATTTGGAGGAAATAAAGAGAATAATAAAGCACCCAACTACATTAGATACCATTTCGAGATATGGGCTCTCGGAAAAACTCCAATCAACAATACCACTCTCAATAAATACTTGGACATTCATCCTGACAGAGTAGCGTCACAATATCTGAACGTTGGTTTCGAAAGGGGTTTCAAGCTTCATTATTCTGGTTCAAGATTTCCTAGAGAGTCAAAAAACCTTTTATCTACATTTCAATTTGAAGATATTTTGTTGTCAAAATTAAAGCAGGAAGTTGATGCAGGAAGGGTAATGGGGCCTTTAAAAGTAGGCCTATTTCCAATCTTAGAGTTTCTCCCATTGGTTTAGTTCCAAAAAAAACCGGGGGTTGGAGATTAATTCAGAATTTATCATATCCTGAACATGACAGTGTCAATGAATGTATTGATGGGGCTCTCACTTCTGTCCATTATACCTCAATTGATCAGGCAATGAAAATGGTTCAGAATCTTGGAAAAGGGGCTTTGTTGGGGAAGAAAGATATCAAGTCGGCTTTTCGTCTGCTACCAATTTTTCCTGGGGATTTTGACTTACTAGGTATGAAAGTAGGTGCTGATTATTACTTTGACAAGTGTTTACCCATGGGGTGTAGTATTTCATGTGCATCGTTTGAATTTTTTTCAACATTTATCGAAGGGGTAGTACGTAGCAAGTGTTTTTCTCAATCCGTTGAACTTTATCTTGACGATTTTCTCTTTGGTGGAAAAGCGAATAATAATGATTGCATCAAAGCCATGGAATGTTTTGATGATTTTTGTCAGGAGCTAGGAGTGCCGGTGGCAGATGAAAAGACAGAGGGCCCAGTAACGTGTTTGGTATTTCTAGGATTAGAAATAGATACTGTTGAACAAGTTGTTCGGATTCCCATGGATAAGGTCCTAGAAATAACATTGATTTTACAAGATGTAGCTGAGAAAACAAAAATATTGTTGAAAGACCTTCAAAGTTTGTTGGGTAAATAAGCTTTTTGTGTGAGGGCAATGCCAGGGGCTAGAGCATTTTCCAGGAGGTTATATGGATTATTAGGCAATGCTACAAGTCCAAACCACCACATTCGTTTGACAAAGGGGGTCCCGGCGGACATCTGGGCGTGGCTAGAATTCTTCCAGGATTTTAATGGTACCTTTCATTTTTTCGAGCAGGATTGGGTATTGAGTGCTGATTTTGAACTGTTCACAGATAGTGCTGGTAGTATGGATTTAGGTTGTGGTGCCGTGTATGGGAAACATTGGATAGTGTTCATGTGGCCAAGTAGTTGGTACGGTTTGGATATACAGAGGGACATCACATTCCTAGAGTTGATTCCTATTGTTATTGCATTATACACATGGGGAAGCGAGTTTCAGGCATTGGTTGAGATCCTGAACAAATCATCATCTCACTCGGAACGTGTGATGTCTTTTATACGTCCTTTAGTTTTTTACTGTCTTAGAAGCAATATCCAGATCAAAGCTAGGCATGTGAAAGGGAGAGATAATTCAATTGCCGATGCGTTGTCACGTTTTAAGTGGTCAAGATTCAAGGAAATAGCACCCGACGCCGACCAGCATCCTACGAATATCCCGCAGGCATTCTTGGACAGTTTCAGAACAAATTTGATGAATTAATCACCGCTTCCATCTCTCAGAATACAGCAATAGCTTATGAAAAAGGGGTTAGGATGTACAAATTGTTTGTTCAAGGGAGTGAACTCTCAAATGTTTGGCGCCCACCTTTGAGTAACATATTAATTTTTTTTCCGTATATGGCCGACAAATGAATGTCTGCAGCAACTGTTCATACTTACTTGGCAGGCGTTAGTTTTCATATTAAATGCTCCCGCAATTCATGCAAGTTTCCTTGTTAAAAAATTATTGGAAGGAGGTTGAAGCAGAGTAAGGATTTAAGGGTCCAAATCACTTGCGATATTCTCAGAAAGATTATTGGGGTTTTGCCTTTATTATGTAGCTCAACATACGAGTCAACAATGTTTTCTGCAGCATTTTAATGGCATTTTTTTGTTTTTTTTTCAGGGTGGGGGAATTAACAGTTACAAAAAAAGAAGATATGTCTCTTGAAGTTGTAGCTTTGCAAGATATAAAGGCATGAAATGGGACTCTGTTTTATCCCAGGTACAGGACATGGTTAATGCCAGAGGGGAGCCCTCCATGTTGACAGTTCACTGTGAGGCGAACGACTTTTATAAATTGGAGCATTGAACTTAAGGGAGCACATATGTATGGAAATTGAGTACTTGGTGAGGATGTTCCCTCATACTATTGTAGTATGGTCACAGATGCTGCCCCGTCAAAGTTGAATGTGACAGCAGTCAACCATGCAAGAGTCAGAGTAAATAGGGAAGTGGCTAAGAAGGTACTCGGCCTGGGTGGTGGTTATTTAAGATATCCCGACATGAGAGTGGGCCAGCAGGAACTATTTGACAAAGATAAAGTGCACCCTAGCAACATAGGCAATGATATTTTACTTAACTGTTTACAGGGAGGGATTGAAAGGATATTTTTCTGAGGGGACAGGGTGTTCCCCTTATATTGAGTTGTGTGAATTTTCTGTGAGTTACATAAACATGTTTTAGAATTGTTGGCCAATGGCCACGGTGGTCCTGTGGTGTTCCTGTTGTTAGCTTCGTACCCCACTACATTTCTTTGTGGCGGCGGTACATGAAAAGGTGAGTCCTTTTCATGTACCATGTGGCAGGACTTTGCTAACATCAGTTCATTTTGAAAATTATAAACACATTTTATTTGCATATAAGTGTATTGACATAAATACTTTATGATCATTGGATTCTCCTGGATCACAAAAGACTTTAATTAATTTAATTGACAATTGCTTGGAAAAAATAAAACAGATGCGGGCAGTGAGTGACGCCCTCTTGAGGCATATGTGGGCAGTAAGTGACGCCCCTTGCTTGAAAAAAATATAAAACATATGCCGGCAGTTATTGACGCCCTCTTGATGCATATAAGGGCAGTAAGTGACGCCCCTTGCTTGAAAATATATATTTATTTATAAAACATATGCGGGCAGTTATTGACGCCTTCTTGATGCATATGAGGGCAGTAAGTGACGCCCATTGCTTGATTAATAAAACACCGTGGCCATTACTGTCAATCTTGCGTTTGTTGTTTTATTCAATAAATGCTATTTTAATTTTTTGAAGCACAGCAAGATTACACTGTAAGCACTCGTTAACAGTAAATCATCCGGCGATGTGTATAGTTTGTTAATTAATGATAGTTTCTACTCTTAAAGAGCAATGTTAAAATCGTTAAACTCGTTGTGTCTTCTACTTCGAGACGGAAATCTCGCATTGTGACTGTCATAATGTCTGCTGTCAATTACAAAATAAGAATTGTAGATATCAGCGATTTCAAATATTGATAAAATATGGATTCAGTTATCAGCACAATAACTTACAATGATGATAATCATATATTGTTATCAGTCCGAATAAATATCTATAAAGTAACAATGTAAAAGAACAACTTTTAACGTAATATATTTACAATTTCACGAATAGCTGCTCTACATAATCAGAAACCTTAAAGTGCTTTTTTGCTAAATACATTTGTAATTTGTCCTTCTCGAAAAAAATGGAACCAATCCTAACGAATCTCACTGAAAGATGAAGTAAAATGTGTGTTCGGTATTGTTTATAACTTTCAACATTGAAAAAAAGCTCTCGACTAAAGCTTAAATCGACAAATACCCAAATAGCAGATGTCGATGGTGAAACAAAATACGCTTACCTCTCCTGACATCTAGTCTCTTTCTCCTTGTAATTTATACTTTAGTTATGTCATTTATTTTTTAAAAACCTGTCCTCACAGTTTAACATTCCTTTATTAGGGATGTTTAAAAAATAAAAGGATCGCGAACTTTTATTACTAGTCATCGAAAATCAAATACTTACATTCTCCATCGCTAATACAGGTATTCGTTGTATTTTCACTGACAGTGTAGAAAAGACCTTGCGATCCACATCCTATCCATTTCACCCAGGTCGGTGAGAAGAATCCAAAACAATGGAGATAAAAGGAGAAGGGAAACGTCAGCCAGAAGCACCAACATGTTAACGTATTCCACCATCGATCATCCATGATGTAAATGTACAACTGACACACACACAGGAAGCATTTCTCGCGTATTTACACGAGATTTGATGAAACAGCGAACAGTCAGCAGAATAAGCCCTTCCGGTGTACGTGTTGTGACGTTAGTTGTATTTTATACAAAATGGGTCTATGTAACAGCTGTACACGTTCGGTACTAACATTATCACCTGATATGTTTTTGAAGCGAAGCTCACTTGACAGATGTTTTATAAGAAAATTAACATTGATATTGCTAATTAAGATCGCTTATTGTTTGAAGGATTTTTGAACTGTTATCTAGGCCTGTCGATGTGAAGGACCGACTCAATTTTTCATTTTGTTTTAATTTATGCCCAATTCGGGATGCTTCAATCTTGATCGAATTCAACATCATGACCTTACAGATGACACCCACATATCATGACACTGTGCATATATTGTACTTCATATTAATTGTATAACACTGTATAACACCGGCCGAGAATGTTGTGTCTTTTTCTACAATATGGAATTACTTTGAAATCTTTTTTGTTTCCATACTTGCCATGGCTTTATCGATATATTTAATTTCAGTTAAGGTTGTGTCATTGTGTTATAATGATTTATAATGAGGTTGTTGATAATGTGATATAATGTTTTATATAAGTTTTATGATAATGTGTTATAATGTTTACACTAGTTTGTTGATAATGTGTTATAATGTTTTATTTTAGTTTGTTGATAACGTGTTATAATGTTTTGTTTTAGTTTGTTGATAACGTGTTATAATGTTTTGTTTTAGTTTGTTGATAACGTGTTATAATGTTTTATTTTAGTTTGTGGATAACGTGTTATAATGTTTTATTTTAGTTTGTTGATAACGTATTATAATGTTTTATTTTAGTTTGTTGATAACGTATTATAATGTTTTATTTTAGTTTGTTGATAACGTGTTATAATGTTTTATATTAGTTTGTTGATAACGTGTTATAATGTTTATATTACTTTGTTGATAACGTGTTATAATGTTTTATATAAGTTTGTTGTTGAAGTGTTATTATATTTAATATCAGTTTGTTGATTACGTGTATATATACAAATGTATGAACTGTAGAGCGGCTTAGGTAAGCTAGATAGAACGCTGTATCAAATGTTGTATATTGTTATTATTATTGTTAATACTATACCGGAAAATACATCAGTCTAGATACGTTTACACATACGCTTTAAAGTGGAAAACAAGCGGTTTGACCTTCACCAACAGAGGTGAGGATGATTGTTATGTACATGTCAAATGACTTCCGTCCTTTTCTGTGTATGATATATTGTTTACTGCCTTTTTTGCAGGACAATAAGCCGAGGATTTGAACTGGCAATAAAATATGTTTAAACAAATATTGCTAGCCAACGTGGCCAATGCTTTTATTATTGCTAAAGTAAAGCCTTTCGTTTTATCGTCGGGTTTAACAACGATATACTAAAGAAAATGTTCAAATGATGTTTAGCTTAACTTAACATGTTTCCTCCTCCCTCCTCCCTCCTCCCTCCTCCTCCCTCCTCCTCCTCCTCCTTGACGATGTTTTAAAAGTTATCAGCTGTTAAGATTAAAGAACCCCTATAAAACGTAATAATCTCTTCTTATCAACTTATCATTTTTTTCCATCTTTTCATTTCCATCTTTTCTGCTTATTTTTGTTTGTTNATCAGAGCACTTCTTGTATCTGCTAAGTATTTCCGTCAGTTCCTTCTCCGTTGCTGGTTAGTTTTCACTGGTGTCAATAAAAACACCCTTAATCTGAAAACTAAATATCAAAATCTAAGCATCCTCATCTTCTCAAGAACCGCGGTAGTCAAACTTACGTCATTTTGGTCATAACTCTCAATTATTTTCATAATTGTTGGAAACAAAAGTGTTGTGAACTGAACTCCTTCGCTTCCTAAATTGTCATTTTACTCTAAGCAATTAGGTTTTAACACTTTCATATATTTTGAACGGGAATGGCTTTTTGTAGACTGGCTATCAGCCCAAAAGTTTTTACGAAGAATTTTATCGGCAGTGTTTTACTACTAGCTTATCTCCCCTTACATTGAGAACGTAATTGTTAGAGTTATTTTTTTTTTTTCTAAATAATTCATTATTCTAGAGACAAGGGGACATTCTAGCCTTTGTGAAATGCATAAATGAAAGATTATACAAACTGATATTTAATTCAACATAATAGAACAAACTTCAAACCAGTTATTTACAAATACATGGTAACAATGGTATTTTCGCAGAAATTCCTGCTTTAAATATCAAGATTAACGTATAAATACATACTTACTTTCAAGTGAAATGAAAGGGAACTGAATTTAGTTTTCCTTGTTAACTATAAACATTTTCTAGAATATGAATCACTGTGGTCTTCCTTCCTGCTCAGCATCACCGGCATAATAATGAATCATGTTCACGTTCACCTCGCCTGATATGACAACTGCCCAGTGTAGCACAAACCCAGATAATTTCTTTTTTCATGAAATTATAGTGTTTATTGTATCGTTGAACTATCTAAATGGTTCACAAAATGTATATCATATTTTTATCAATTTTATGCTTTTTGTACATTTGACATATCGAAATAACACAATCAGACTAATTGACACACAGGAAAATAATATTTAGTCAAATACTCAGATCCATACTCGCCAAATGTAAATTTTACGTTTCACATGCTATGATTATATCTTTTTCCTTACCGCAACTCTGGTCCGGATTCCGTACCGGATGTACTTATTAGACTCGCCCCCGCGCATATAACAAAATGGCGGATTATTAATGTACTTTTTAGACTAGGTGTAACTGCTGCAATAATTAAACAGGTAACCGTGAACAAATATTGTTATTGTTTCATATTCTGGTTCATAGACTAACATTTCTTCATTTTCGTAGCATAATGACTAACTGGTAGCTGATAATGACTGAGAAATCGACATTTGTCTGGCAATAAACAATACGATTCCTTGTGTTTAACACAGCGTTGTAGTGCAGGTTTCCAATGGGGATTGATTATGGTTACGAATGTGGAGTCGTTGAGTTTTTTTTCTAAATACAAGTAGATTTGATCAAGACTTACATTAGAATATTCAAATTTACTTCCATAAGTCTCAACAAATATCTGATGATGAATTAACGAGTGTTCGTATCGAATTGGGTTGCCGCCATCTTGTTTACATTTGAGGCACCAAACGTAAACATCTTGCGGCAAATGCGAAAACGTTAAGTCACATAATAAAAAGTGTACTCTGCACAAATAAATTTATTTCTTCCAAACTGATGGGTTCTGATTTTAGCGACAATTAATTGTTTTTTCGCGACAGTCTCGTGCGATAACAAACTAAACATCAGGCAGGTTACATCAAAGTCTCTTGTCGTGGCGAGTACACGACAACGGGGATGAGACGGCCCTTTATTTTGTCGTCTGTACACGACAATGGAGACCAGGATGACATATTGTTGTCGTGTGTACACGACAACGGTACGGAAAGAGAAATATGATGTGCTGTGGAATAGTATCCGCTATCATGATATATTTCCTATTGTTATTGGGGACGAAAAACGCGAAAATTTCATTACAGCTATGTTTTCTTGGTAATTATTACTTAAGAGTGTCGTATACAAACAGTATAACAAATATCTTCCTCAAACCTAATACCAACAAGTTTTAAATGTAACGGTGGGAGTTCCAGAAGCCCTATAAACTGCTCCGTGTAGTCGGAAATGATGCACTGGAAAGAATTTGCGATGTCATAGTACACTTACATACAAATTTGATAAAAAAAATCAGTCATTGTTAATGAGCATTTGTATATCATTGGTATTTCATTAGTATCTAATTAGTATTCATAAATGTGTCAATAAAATTAGGGCCACAACGACAATGTTTGATAACTAGTGCTAAATGTTAACACATCACGCATACCACCAGCAAATGCCTACCATCACTCATGTTAAGTTTCATAAGTATTTTGTATATTTTTTTTTGAGAAAATTCCATCAACCATCGGGCGACGAAAAATCATAAGAAGAAAGAAGAAAAACATATTTGAATTGTGACGGAGACCGTTAAATAAGTGTCCGAAAACTGGCCGTGTAGTTTGATGGTTAATGATATTTTAGAAGGATTTCTATTCACCATAATACCCTAATATACTAAGTTGGATCAAAATCAGAAAAAAGAGAGGGACCGTTTGTATCTCCTTGTCGTACACCCACAAATGTACCAATCAATTGTGCATGATACAATGTCAGTCGGAAAATGAAAGTTTCTGAGAAAAACGCCGGACACCATTTGACGGAAGAAAATTAAGAAGAAAGAAGATGAATTCGAAGAAACGCAGCAAATTCAACAAGTCCTGGACCTCTTAAAGGGGACACAACACAGCCGTTTATGTTAATGTGCCCTTTATTTTGTAAATGTTTTTGCTAGTTTTTAACATTAATATACATTTATGTACATATACCTTTTTACCCGTTACAAAAAATTTTACACGAAAACAATGCAAGCTTTATCAGAATTTGTTCACAGCGCTCACACATGTATTTACCCATATTTTACTTTATTTTCAAATTCTTGAAAAATCGAAGTTTCTTGTAATCTTGACAATAATAGCAATAGTTTCTGCATCCTTCAGCCTTGGAAAATAATTTGCTTTTCAGGGACAATATATTGAATCTTTTACTGCTATGTTGTTGTGTAGAGTGACAATACTGCACTGGTTAACTGTAAACAGGAACCTGTTTAAAACAATAAGCATCAGTTTTCCTCTTACGAGATAAATCGTAGATTAGCGGATGAGCACTGTTGACGTAAATCAACTAGGTCAGATTTCTTGGGAGCTGTACATGTACATCGTCTTTATCGCTTTCATATGTTTCGATATTTCGACGATGTGCTCTATTTAAATAACACCAAATTAACAGACCACGTTGATTTCAAATACCCTACTGAATGTTGAAAATAAAAACGCCACATACTTCTGTGTCATTTTACTTTGACCTGTGTAGAAGCTACATTGTGAGTTAGAGGGTATTAGACGCCACAGACTGCTCTGCGTTATTTTCCTTAGACCTGTGTAGAAGCTACATTGTGAGTTAGAGGGTATTATACGCCACAGACTGCTCTGCGTCATTTTCCTTTGACCTGTGTAGAAGCTACATTATGAGTTAGAGGGTATTAGATGCCACAGACTGCTCTGTCACA